AATAGGTTATTCCCCATCATAGATTTATCTTAACTACAATGTATCATATAAAATGTTTAATGTCGTCCTAGCTTCTTCGTTTTATGTAAATACATAGTGCTCTCCCTTGTAATCGGACAAGGCATCAACATTGTTTCGTATGGTCTATTTCCAGGTTAAATCGACCTGTAAGTTATAGACTGTTTCAAAGTCAAAGCAAATTAACAGAATGAAATAAGCAAGCGATAAGTTCGGTGCTTTCTCAGCAACATTTATCCTTAGGAAATTACTTCTTAGAACTCAACAAAGCTATCGTAAATTATATAATTGAGTCGCGTCACGACAAAACCAACGTAATGCGTTTGCGACCAGCATGGATCCAGACCAGCCTGTGCATCTGCGCAGTCTGATCAGGATCCATGCTGTTCGCTATCAGTTTCTCTACTTGTAATAGGGTTTGTAAACGAACAGCATGGATCCTGATCAGACTGCGCGGATGCGCAGGCTGGTCTGGATCCATGCTGATCGCAAACCCATTATGCTGGTTTTGTCATGACGCGGCTCATATATATTAAAGATACAATATTTTATTTCCGGCTCCTCCACCTCGACTCCAGTTTCCTGGCCTCGTGTTCATCAAGAAAAGATCATGATCAGGATCAAGTGATCCTGGTTTTATTTTCATTGTTTAATGTTACTTAAATCATTTGTGTTTTGTTGAATTAAATTGTAAATATTCAAAATGGAAAAAAATGCTAATTTGCAAAGAAACCAAACTATTTTGGGAAAATATCAATAAATTATATAACAAATACAAAAATATTTGGATCAAAATAAGGATCAATTTTAGGATCAGTATCACTATTTGGATCAACTGTAATCATACTTTGGCAAATCCAGTTTTATCAAATTAATATTAGATATTTAATCTATGAAGATAAACAATGGAGAATATTAAAGTTTTCAAATTTGATCCTGATCTTGATCCTGATCCTTAAATCTTTGTGAACACGGGGTCTGTTTATAACCATATTTATAAATTTAGTATTGCACTAGAAGGATTTTGGTAGGCTAAACTTGTAATAACAAACATTTGCAAATTATGTTTTATAAACTTGATCACGTGTACACAATATTCACAACTGATTAGTTATTTATAGCGATCAAGGTTGTCTCTTAAATAAGACGAGCTTATCGATACTTTAATCTGTGCAGTTCTTTATACAACATTCAAAAGTCACAACGATTAACGATTGAATGACAAACTATTTATTAGTCGTGTATTATTATCAAATAATTTCTACAAACACTTGTTAAATCATATATGAAACAAACAACACTGTTATAAACATTTAGAACATGGGTTGGTTATGTTATGTATATAATATATTGTTAACAAATTACAGAAAAGACTTTCATACTGAATTATTACCATTCAAATCGCTTTCATTGTTAAAGATGCTTAAACACAAGATAATGATCAAAGAAAGTTAACAACACGGCTCTTTCTTGCAAACTCCAGACACTGATCTCGGCACAGCAATGGATACTTCTTTAAAGTTTTATTTACAAAAAGAGCTAAATTTTATCTTTTTATCCGTTTTATCATTTCCGTAAGCCTCAGCTAGTTCCGCGACGGCTTTAGGTGTTGTTGTATCACCAGCTCTACCCTTAAACCACTCCGACCCTTCACATAAAGCGTTATATATTACATTAGAACAACTCCTTTTCACCAAGTCCCATCGTTTAGAGCCTTCTAGAAGTTTTTTGAAATATTTCTTTATGTTTTCTTCATTTAAATCGAACAAATTAAACGTTTTGCTTGGATTCCCATTCACCTTCAATTCACTTGGGAAGTCATCGAACCACTTTGCTTCCGTACCAGCAATGGCTTCCGCGACGTTTTTCATTTCTTCTTTAGGCCACCAACTCACATATGACCCGTCCGATAGTTCCAAAGCAATATGCCCAAAACTTTTAGAAGAAGCAGAATCCCAAAAATAAATTCTCGTCACCATGTTCAACACTTTACGGACAAACACAAAACTACCAGTCCACAATAAAATCCCGTTTATGTAATGCAATACCTTTATACATAGATATCAACACAAAATACATATTTCTATGCTTTAACTTGTTTATGTTTAAAACTGGTTCATTATTATTTATATAGCTAGGAAAATAACAACATAAAAATGTATTCCAAAACTTAATCTTCGCATTATCTTTTTAAAACCATACTACAATTAATCCAGTTGTACTAGCATGTTAAATTTATAATGTAGATATTAGGCTGATTAAATGTGTATTCCTGCAATCATGTGTACACAGATGCATGTTCTGTAGTCTAAATATAACATACTGTAACCAGCATAAACTTATAACCCGTTAATTCATTTGGTTTTGGTTTGTAATATAATTAAGGTACAATTTAATGTATAACCGCCCTAACAACTGAAAAATTGACACTATAGGCCATGCAAAATTTAAAAGAACATTACCGTTGGGTAAACGAGTTATGGCTACTTTTCTGAACTTAAGCTTGTATGTTAGAAGAGCCTTTTTCAGAAATGAGGAACCTTTATCTACAGTATCATCCTTATAAAAATATTTCCCATTAATCTTATTGTTAAGGAAAAAATAATAATTATCAGCTAGCAATCCACACAAGCAAAATTATTGTTTCTACAATATGTATAAAAATGTATGTTACCCTACCCACCCATTTAAACATGTGTTTGACTATTCTACTTAAGGCCTCAACAGACGGTAGGATTTTGAAGTACAACACCAATTAAAACTAAGATGTACAGGCAAATCTTCATGTGTGAAGGCTACTATTTCTTGAATTCAGAAGCCTTAAGTCTAGATGTAAGGGATAGGACATGTTCTATTCGTACAGATTTCTACAGACCTCCCACAATGACAAGTAACAGATTACCAAAGTATCTCCTGCTAATGGGGGTAATGAATGAAATTCAAGAACAATTAGGGCTAAAAGGTAATCATAGTAGTAAGATGGGGTAAAAATGATGTTGAAAAAAAAACTCTTCAGGAGACCCAAATTTGTGTTAGGTTCGAATCCCAAATTATTCCGAAAATGATAATGTCGACGGTATTGAACTGTTCTCTAATAAGGGGAGGGAAAGTTTTTTGTAGGCGGCCGGATAGCTTAGTCAGTAGAGCCGCAGAACGGTATTCCGAGGGTCCCAGGTTTGAGTCTCGGTCAGGCTTTACATTAAAAAATATATATATATACATTGTATATATATTTAAATGGAGGTGTTTCAATCATTACTCATGGCGAAAAAAGTATTTAGTGAGTAAAGTATGTAAAGGATCAATTGGGAGGGATCCTTTTTAGTGAAACCTCAGATGATTCCTACAGTGTAGAATTACCGTCTGAATGCAAGTGTTGTATTGCTTTGAAAAACGTACATCTTATCTCTAATTAGTGTTGTACACCTAAATCCTACCGTCTGTTAAGGCCTTTAGAGAGCCTAAAAAATCCCTAAATTTAACTAAAATTAGGGACTGTTTTCAAAGTTTTCCTAAACGTTTTCAGAAATATATGTGTTGATCTTGTATAATAACAAAATCTCCGTCAATATGTTATGCAACTGCTATGTAAAATTTAGACTATAACTTGGTACAGTAAAATGTATGGTGTAACTAAATGAAAAGTTGGTCTATCCATCTATTGAATTTTCATACCGTAACGATGTGTAAATTATAACTACCATTTACGGATTAACTCTTAACCTACTGAATTTGGTTAATGGATGGGTCCATCTTCGAATTTGGAGCAGTCCATTTAAAATTTGAGGGATTTCAACTTTAAAATAGATAATAATTCTCCGATCCATTTCATCGCATCTTAAACCTTAACTACTTTTATGGTTATAAAATAATCATATACAGCACACTAAAAAGCAAATGTAGGGTAATGCATTTATACATATCAGATTGCAGATTTTACCCTTCACAACTGTAGACCATGAATTATGTTTATTAAGCCATTTAAACTCTAAATATAGCTTTTCACATACGAGGGATGATCCAGAAATATCCGGAATAAAGTCTCAGGTTTAAAAGTATTTATAATACGTTCAAATTAACAAAACACACTATACGACCAACAGCATCGTCAAAATTGACAAAACCGCCTTCAAAATGCCTGTGCCACTAACACACCCTTGTATGGCTAACTTGCTATGTTAATTTATGAGATTTCCTTTAGAATGAGACTTCCCGAACTGCTGACACAAGCTTATGACAGTGTCGTTTTTCGGAATCTTTGATGACCAAGCTTTCAAATAAATGAAATTCGCAACTACCCATAGTCGTGTCACAAAATTTAAAGCTCAAACGGCACGACATTTCAGTATGACCTTCATTAGGGTTATACACGACGTTCCAGAGACTTTTTAAAAAAGATTCACGAGTAGTGTATCATTCTCTTTGGTGTACAATAACATATCGACGTATGTTGCATTAGATTAGGGCGATACCCTGGTTATTTAAAGTGTACTGAAATGGTACTATACGGCATTCAATAACTACCATTTTATGAATGAGTTTTACAGATGAAAATTACGAGAATAATGGACACATCCGGAGATTTATGGGCCACCCCTCGTATTTTTATCAAAGTATGATGGTGTGGAAGTTGATATACCTGTTATGTAGGACGATTTTAATTTTTTGTAAAATATTTAACGACATTAGTGATTCATAAGTGTATTGTAATTCATTTTAAGGTTAAATAGAAAGGAAAAATATTGTTACTATTGGCATTCATTTCTATGAAGTTCAAAATTAACTTTTTAAAAATCACTTATCGTTCACTTTTGATGTGAAATAAAATTGATCGAAACGGAAAATTTATGATTAAATATTGAGACAAACAAAATAATGGATGTATCACTTACATTGAGTGGTAAAATACTAACTTTAATAACATTACTTGTGTTGTTATGGTGGACAAAATGGTCTAGTAAAAAACGGTATCCACCAGGACCATGGGGACTTCCTATTCTGGAACACCTGAGAATATAAAACCGGAGATAAAGTATTTGCAGTGGCAGCAAAAGTACGGGGATATTTTCCGTATTCGCTTAGGTAGTTGGAAAACGATAATTGTTAATGGATATGAAGCTATTAAAGATACAGTGGAGCAAAAGGACGATGTCTTCTCGGGTAGACCCGACTTAACAACCCAAATTGCTTCCAAAGAAGCATTGGATGGTATAGAAAGTATGTCGTTGTGTAACTGTTTCACCCACGTATGTTCAAGACAGGAAACGAACAATTATGGCAATAAGAAAATACTTAAATAATTGTGAATATTCTCTAAATGATCTATTTCGGGAAGAAGCTGAAAAATTAACAGAAAAACTATTGAGTTATCCATGTAATGAGCCCGTATCTATAGATTTGGATATTCAGATGGCTGTTATAAGTGCAATTTATCAGATGTTATACGGCAGAGGAAAAGAAGATGAAAGTACACCACAATTGAGATTGATCATGAAATCCTCGGAGACATTTAGTAATTTTGTCACTTCTGAAAACTTATTTGATGTTATGCCTTGGTTAAGGTATGCTTGGAACACATAGGTGGACCAATTTAAAACAGCGTTAAAAGCAACTGCTTGTGTCGCAAAATCGAAAATTTCTGAACACAAAACTTCATGCATAAATGACCAAACAAGAGATATTCTAGATGCCTTATGTGAGCTATCAGAGGATTTACCTGATAATGATAGTGACGGTAATATATCAGCCACACTTTTACAATTTCAAATTTGGACATTGCAAGGTGCCGGGTTTGATACAACAAATCGCCTGTTACTGTTCATCATCTTATATCTGACTAAATACCCAGACGTACAGGAGCGTGCACAGAAAGAGATTGATCAAGAGTTAGGAAGTTACAGGAATATCTCTTGGGATAATCAAACTAAACTCCCGTACGTAATGGCAACTATTCTTGAAGTAATGCGAAAAACAACCATAGTTCCATTTGCCCTGCCCCATTATACCCTCAGAGATACGAAATTGCAAGAATACGACATCGAAAAAGACACGGTTGTTATCTTTAACCTTAATTCAGTTGCTTATGAAGAGACATATTGGGGTGATCCTGATAACTTTAGACCAGAAAGACTTCTTGATGATTCCGGTAAACTTGACAGGGAAATGTGCTCGCATATTTATCTACTTTCATTTGGTGCTGGAAGGCGACAATGCCCCGGTGAGACTTTAGCGGAAATGGACATTTTCATTGCAACTGCAACCTTGTTACAGCGCTATTCGCTTCGGAAAGATGACGACCGTGACCTTGATCTTGAACCTAATCGAGGTCTAGTTCTCACACCAAAACCATATTTAAAGTTATCGTACAACGAAGAACGTAGATAAGGTTGTCGTCATCAATCTAAAAATCATGAGGCCTGCAGTATCGAAAAATTTAGGTCAGAGATGTTATTTTAGTTTGTACCAAAAGGTTGGAGCATAACAGAAATGTGGTGTATAAATTCACAAATTGGTTCAAGTGCCATTTAATACAGATTTTGTCTCCATATCATGTTATCGCTTAATTTGGGTACTGTTCTATATTTTCCATGACTTTTCTTGGAATCGTTCAAAGGATTTGCACTGATTTTGTCTGAAAAGTACATGAAACATTTATAACATATAAGTTTCGTAAGCAATGGATTGTATAATCATAACACAGAATACATAACAAGTTAAATGTTGATGCTTCCCATCAAAGACGCCTCGAAATGATGTGAACAGTCGCAGGTAATGTACAAATCAGCCTTGACAATTGTTCTCTATATTACAGTTGAATATCCGAAGCATAATTATAAATTTTTCTTCATGTTTTTTTGGTATGTGCGCGTTGTTTAGTAATTAAGTTGCATACTTTTGATAAAATTGTATAAATTCCATAGGGAAACGGCACAGTGTTGGGATAGTGTAAAAAGTAATTCTAGAAAATAATATATAGTTTATATGTAATATTATATATAAACTATATATTTGTTTTCTATAATTACTTTTTTTACATTATCCCAACACTGTGCCGGGTGCCTTTGATCAATTCAATATGTGGTGACATGTCTGAAATGTTTGTCTGTTGAGACAAAGATTGAAAAGGTCTGGTGGGAGCAAAAAAATTGAATTGCAATTAAAAATAAAATGATTGGTATACTGACTTGAAGGTGATGAAATCAAGCGTCAAAATATTGGTGCGAATTGCATATCGTTCGAATGATTTTGAGGACGAACTGTCCTGTTATTTTACAAATTGCAAAAATATGTCTGTAATATCAAATAAAAATTATAAATAAATTGTAAAATATGATCAATGCTTAGCAATGTATTGTTTACTTATCTATACCAGATGAAACTATTTGATTAAACACAATATTGCATATTTGTTTATCGCTTACCGGGGAACTTAGGTATAGAACCACTAAATGTAATAATAAATAGCAAAAGAGAACAATCGTCACAGAATCCTTCAAAACAACCTTTTGCAAACATTTGTGATACATTTAAAAACAAACTTACTTTTTCACTCTCTTAATCTGTTTTATACCTTAAATGTTAATTATTTTCATGAATAAGCATAAGCATAAGCATAAGCCTGTTTTACAAAAAAAAGTTCGTTGCGCAAAAAAAAAAAAAATCTCCGTTGCATTAAAGCCTAGGTCACAAATAAGAAAATGCCGCCGGGCGGCGTCTGTTTCTCCAAAAAATCGCAATATCGGCCGGCGTCCGTCCGGCGGCAGTGAGTATCGGACGGCAGCAGCTGAAAATTTTGCTCATCGGGCGGACGCCTTCGAGTTTTAAGTAATACTTAAAAGCTAACGGCGGCCGGACGATAATTTTTGGGGTCATTGAGTATAAATATCATCGAGCGGACATCGTTCGGTCGCCGGGCGTCGACCGGGCGATGATTTTTTTGATCGGGCGATTTTTTGTTCTACTAAAACAGCGTCCAATTTAAAAGGCGTCCGGGCGGACATCGGCCGGGCCCCGCCCGGTGCCAGAATAGAGACAAGTAGTCAAACGATTATCGCCCGGTACCCGGACGATTCATGTACAGGCGGTCATCGTTTTGTCATCCGGCGACCGGGCTGCTTGTGTTTGTTGTAATTTCAGCTTGAAGAAGTTGTAATTGCCTCAAAAATATATTTGTGAATTTCTTTTGAATACTAGTAAACATTAATTTTTTCTTCAATGTCCATGCGAATGTCTGATTGATTTTCGCCTTCTACGGCCTCGATACTGGTCGTTGGTGACTCGCTGTCAACAACACGGACCAACTCCTTCGCCTTTCCCTTAGCTTTGGCAGCTGACTTCTTTGCTGGCATAATTACAACTAGCTGATTTATCTAAGATGTCATTAAATGTAAAGTCATTGTCGCCCGGCGCCCGCGCGGCAACATTTCGATTCACTTTTAAATCGCACAGGCTCCGTGCGGACATCGGGCGGCGACCTCCTGATTCGTTCATTCTTTCTGTAAAATCTACTCGGCAAAAATCGCCCGAGGACTGTTTCATTCATGACCACGCAAGGTATCAGATTTAAAATCGCCCGGCGTCCACGACATCAAAAAATCTGCCGATTTTATAAAAATCGTTTAATCGGACGGCGCCCATTTTATTTGTGACCTAGGCATTACTCATTACTCCTTTGATCTGCATGCTTTTGTAATAAGACCTAACCGCCTACTAAGTTTCAAGTTGTTCTGCCAGAAATCGTGAAGATTCAATGGGCTCTGGTCATTTTCCTATTGTTATTTTATTTAAATAAATGAAAAATAAATAATACCAAAATTGAGACTCCAAACAAATTTTAAATGTTAAATTTAATTATGGGAAGGCAGATTGATCTATTTTCCATATATTTAATAAAAGCATCACTTGGCAAGTCTAGAGTGATTATACAAATTCCTTTTTAAATAATTTAACAAAAGCCATCATTGACAGGGCTGAGCTAGCAATCCCGGCTCCCAGCTCCAAGTCAAGGGGGCGAAAACCGTTCCATGGTGGAATGATAAATGTATTCAACTATAAATTAATATTCAAAGCAATTAATAATCTCAAAATATACGCATTAGATATAAAGTGTAAATATATATATATTTTTTTTTTCATTTTTTTTTTCAATAATTCAAAAGTTTAAGTGATAGATTCGGTGAATGATAAAAGCGATGTAATTAAAGTTTAAATCTCGTTTATTTAGAAAAACAAATCTACAGGTTTGTGATAGCAGCATATTTTATATATAGATAAAAATCAGTCATGATCTTACCTTAGCCTAAAGCGCTTATATTATGGTGAATAACCCCTCCATGAACCACAGCGTGTACAAACATGGCCAACCTTTGATAAACAATATTTCACTTTTATAGTGCATCGAATCCGTCATTGCGAATTATTTTTTTTTTATCGTTACAGTGAATAATCATTATTATAGATATTATTCAATTTATTGAAAGCAATTGAATTAATGTAGCTGTGTGTGAAATTAAACATAGATAACATCAGAAATGTCATCGGTTTTCATCCCTGGTAAAACATAACAAATACGCATAATCATCCCCATTATTTTTAGATTGATAAGTATCTTGAGCACATTCTAGTTCAAATGCAAAAAAAAATCAAATATCTTTAACTTCTAGGCTCTAAAGCTGATGTTGGTTTTGCTGTTGTTGGTTTTTTTTTCAATATCTTTCAGAGAAATTTTAAACAGAATCTACATTTATAGCATTTACAGTATCTTTGTTATACACAGGTCTGTCTGATTGCTGGACATCTTAGGTTGAAACTAGGTAACCATGTTGAATTAGAGAAAACTGTCTTTAAATATCCTGTATGTTGTGATCAAAGTGGTAAATCACATTAAGTGAAATTATATATACATGTATGTACATAATTGTGCAAATAAAACAATTTTCAAACATCGGAGATTATTTAAAATATGTACTGCAAATATTTGTGCATATTATATGTAATCATTAAAATATATGCATTCATTTCCTATCGTAAAATTTGACTTAAACTTTATAGAAAATAAATTTTTATTACCTCCCTTTTTACATGAAATGTTAAATTCGGTAATATATTTATAAATAATGTTTTTTGGAAACTACAATATTGATAAATCTTAATTTGAGCATCATATTTATAATTTTAAAATATCAAAAATGTGTTACAGGATCTTTAACACTCTTGACAGCACAATCTGTATTTCATGCCCATCAAGCTTTGTAATACTGTATGTCTCAATTACCATAATTTACAGTACTCACTCAATAAATCTAAATTTCTTTGTAGATCATCCGGACTTTCGCCTAAAATCGCCATGTCGTCTGCATACATAAGAAGCATTAATGTAACTTCTTTTAACGTTATTCCATTTTGATTTTCTTGTAAATATATTTCAATGTCTTCAATAAACAGAGCATAGAATAATGGCGAAGTTATGTCCCCTTGTTTCAAGCCTATAGCAATATTGATAAAGTCAGAGTATTTTTCACAATGTTTGATTTTACTCCTCACTTCAGTATACATAGATCTAAGCATACGGAACATCTCTCCAGAAATCCCTAAATTATACAGCTTATACCATAAAGCATTTCTGTTAATAGAATCGAAGATTTTCTTCATATCTACCATAGCCACATATAGTCTTTTTCCATTATTCAACATATTTTCCACTAAAGTATGAAGAGCAAAAATAGCGTCTGTTGTAGAAAATCCCGCGCGAAATCCAAACTGCGCATCCGTATTAATATTATATTTACAGGACCAACAAGTAAGTCTGTTATTTAGCACTGATGTAAACAATTTAGCTATACAACTTATTAAAGTTATACCGCGATAATTATTAACCTGATTTTCGTCACCTTTTTATATAATGGTATGATCAATCCCTCCATCCATTGATCCGGAAAATATCCACTATCAAAAATGTTATTGAAAATATCAACAATATGTCGGATTAAAATATCTCCTGCTTCTATGAAATATTCATTAATCAAGTGGTCTAAGGAGCCAGCTTTACCGCGTTTTAAATATGTTACCGTATTATCTTATAGGTATTGTACACATATAATGATTGTTTCTCTTTTGTATTGTTTTCATTCATTAATTGTTTTATGTTATTATTGAAATATTATATTCATTTATTCAAAAATGTACCGGTAGAACAATGATAAAGAAGTAAAATTTGGAACAGGAAAATTAAGGACAATTCAACTTCATGGTAGGATAAGGCTACTGGTAAAATATTAAGATTGTTCATGACGTTTAAGATTAAATGTCACAACGATCTTATACAAGATATATGTTTCCTCTCAATTACTTACAAATGTGTAATATAGTAATCAATGGACTGTGAGTTCCCCACTCAACTA